AGGCTTAAATTCAATAAAATTCTTAAGCTTTTCTTTACACTTGTGTAAGAAACCTTATGGCTAATTGTGGACTCAATTAGTGGCTAGTCGTGGACTCGAATCAATCTTCCTTTCTTCAGCCTTAGATTTAGGGTCGTGGACTCGTTCTTGAATCGAAGGAAACTAGATCCGACTCTAGTTGATTGAAGATTGCAACATCGAGGTACTTGAAGCTACATGGGATTCTTCCAAGTCTTTGAGGATTCGAGACAAAGGGTTTCTCGTGAGGTTTAAGGTATTTTGATCCATTTCTATATTTGCATTGAGAGTAATCTTGGGACAATACTCCATTTTATTTGAGCCTTGGACTAGGTTCATATCAATTTGGTATTCGGAGCCTAGGTTTGTCTCATTATCATTTGAAATTTTGTTTCTTTGGTTCCCTAGGTTTATCTCGTTCTTATCTTACATACTACTTTTTTCGTGTCTTATTCATTAAAAAAAAAAAACCCCAAAAAAAATTTCTTTTGCATTCTTGATTGTGTTCTTGAATCTTGATACATGTTCTCCAGTTTCTTGAAAAACAATCCCGAAAGTGTTTTCCCTTTTCAAGTGATATCATGGATCGAAGACAATGCTTACAAGAGTCGAGGTCGTATCATTTTCAAGAAGGGGAGGATGATGCGGCCCAACATATGAAGATCCATTAAGAGTACTAATTGGGCCAATCACAAGACCCAAGTCCAAACAATTAAGGCAACTCTTCATTGGTGATGTTAAAAGATGGTGGAAATCCAAGTCAAGCCCATTTGCAAAATATGAAGAATAACTCAAGGCTTTTTTATAATTGTTTAAGTGCTGATTTTGGTGATTAAATTAGGCCCAAATCAGCCCTATTATTTTTGGTCATCATTAATTTAAATTGTTTGGCATAAAAGAGAAAACACTCTTGTTATATTTAGAAAGGATTCCTTAAATCCTTTTCTAAACAAAACTCTATTTACGTGTTTTCTAGATTAGGTTTAGGACTCTTTTTCCCATTGTATTTAGATTACAATGCTGCCCTATACCTATAAATAGGGCACATCCATATTAGTTTTAGAGAGGCTTTAATTCAATAAAATTCTTAAGTTTTTCTTTACACTTGTGTAAGAAACCTTATGGCTAATTGTGGACTCAATTAGTGGCTAGTCGTGGACTCGACTAGCAAATTGATTCGTGGACTCGAATCAATCTTACTTTCTTCAACCTTAGATTTAGGTTCGTGGACTCGTTCTTGAATCGAAGGAAACCAAATCTGACTCTAGTTGATTGAAGATTGCAACATCGAGGTACTTGAAGCTACATGGGATTCTTCCAAGTCTTTGAGGATTCGAGACAAAGGGTTTCTCGTGAGGTTTAAGGTATTTTGATCCATCTCTATCTTTGCATTGAGAGTAATCTTGGGACAATACTCCCTTTTATTTGAGCCTTGGACTAGGTTCATATCACCTCCTACCCGCCGTTCCGCCCGCGGGTACACACCTGTACCAAAATAAATCCATTCAGGGATTTTCATCTCCAAACTCAAATTCAAGTCCAAAACATGCCAAATCTTACCAAATACAACAAAATGACTTAAATCAAAGGAATAGCTAAGCAATGGCATACAAGAACCCTAAACACAAGCTCCAGATATGCCTTTTCACAAGACAATGCATAAACACTCACATTTCATAGCTAAACACATGTAGAATCCAAGAAATATTCATATAGGTAAGCAAAATAGATTTTGTAGAGTATGGGTTACCTCTTGTAGACAAAAACCTTCACTTAACACCTCACCAAGCTCCTAACAAAGCTCACCTTCCAAACCCACTTCAAGAACACACCAAAAGATCATAAAGATTCTATCTTTAAGAAAAGACACCTAAGAAAACACTAAAAACACAAGATGAACATGGATCTTACCCTCCTAGATGCCCAAATGTATGAAAGGTAGAATCTTGAAGACAACTCTTGAAGTTTTGGCAAGGCTTCAATCTTGGCTTGGAAGAAAAGCTATCCACCTTTTTAGAGAGAATGTGGAGCTAAAATTTGGAAAGTGTAAGGAAAGAAATGAGGGTGTTCTTAGTAGGTTAGCTTACAATACTAACACAAGGTGAAAGGTCAAGAATACCCTTACTAACATGAAGAGGTGTAAGGAAACAAGGGAACTCCTTACAAAGCTCAAGGTACAACTTTGACTTTGGGGTTGACTAGTCAATTACTAGTCCCCGACTATTGAATTTAAGGAATTTAAGGAATTAAATTACAAATTGAAATATGATTAATTACTTAATTTATCCCTTAATTGAATTTGGATTTCGGGGTGTCACAGGAGGTTTTGGGCATTGAAAACCAACCCACTCATGGGTCTGGCTTCAGTCCGGCTTATGTCCACCCCTTTTCTTTTCATGATCCAACTTAGGATCATCCCGTAGGGTAGACAAAGCCGGTTTCAAGATTTACAGAATTCCATGTGCTTCAACATAAGAGCAGGTAGATTGATCTTGACCTTATGCTTAAGGAAATAGGCAAAGGTGCATTCCAAGCTTCCCACATCCTTGCTCTTGTTGTTAGTGAACAACAAGCTGTCGGACACGATCATAACTAGTAGTTTTTGCTCGGCGGTTAACAGCTTCTTAATTGGCCTCATGGCGGAAGTGAAACCGCCTTCTTTTCCCAACAAATAACCGAGATAATCCTTGTACCGGACCTTGGAGGTGATCTCCAACTTGTCCCCTCGTTTGGTAGCTACCAAATGGCAATAGAATTTCTTTACCAACTCGGGATATGTATCCCCTTTAATCGCGAGGTAGGTGTCCAAAAGGCCTTGAAATTTAAGCATATCAACCAACTTCGGAGAGAATTGGTCGGGTTCGAGTGCTTTACCTCCGATCACCGTGTAGTCGGCATTATTCCACTCCGGGACTCGGGCATTGGTGGGCCTCTTCGTCATTGTAGGAATTTAGGAGGTGGCTACGGATGAGGGGTCGGTTTTCCAACGAGAATTCCGGTGGCTTTTCCGGCGACTTCTCCGGCAAGCACAACGAACGGCGACCACGACAGGGGCCTCCGCATACGGTGTAGCTGCGGTGGTGGCGTGGCGGCAGGTTGGTGTATATGACTGTGACCGAAAGGCATGGGGATAGATCGTGCAATGAGATTATGGTGTAGGAAGCTTTAGATTTACCTTGATGTGTATATGATTGTGATCTTAGTTGTACTATGAACTCTTTATCTTACAAGCACCTATTGATATTTGGTAGTGGTAGTTTTTCCCTTACAAGTTTCATGTGTTGTGAGATGTGTATCGTAGGTTATCGTGTGAAAGTATTGAACTAAATATTAATATTTATTATATTTGTATAAAATACTTGGTAAATAAATTATTTTATATATATATATATATATATATATATATATATATATATATATATATATATATATATATATAATTTATTTTGTATTATAACTTTGATATTTAATTACAAGATAAATATAATAAATTAATAAATTTGAAGGTAAGGAATCTTTGGATTGTAGAAAATAAAGATAATATAACTAATGAAATTATATCTCTTTTTAAATTTTTTTAAAATGAAAATTTTTTTTTTAAATAAAAACATTATAGAATCCAATTCTAAATTAATTTAATGCATATGTATTATTTTTGTTGTAGCTACTAATTTATTTAATTTAATAAGAGTAATAAAGTGGCGTACATACTTTAATCAACAATAATAAAATTATTGATTTTTTAAATTTCCATTTGTTATTGAGACAAATTATTTTGAGAGCTTGTAAACGACAATTGCTACAATTGCAGTCAATCACTAATAAATCATTCAAAATATATGGTCACAATAGATATTGTTATAATGATATAGTAAAAATTAAAGTCCATGTGTAATTGTATTCATGATCAACAACGGAGTAATTAAAAACCTTCAATTTCTAACGCGCAAAAATACTAAACTCATTCCTCTCTAGGGTTTGCTAGAGTTCTCTCCACCCCTAGGGTTTTCTAGGTTTTCTTGATCGATTTTCTACTCTTTCTCCGGCAATCTTTTTCGGCTTTCCGCATCAATTCTCTTGGCATGGCAGCGTCTAGCTCGGCTGATGGCGTCGCAGGCATCACCGCATGGTGGGCGGACATCGAACTGGATGATGAAGAGGATCGCATCTTTGATCCGGATGAGGGCGTCACGGATGATCGGCTGAACGACATCGAACAAACATGGGGGGTTGTTGATTTATGGGTTCAGTTGCATGATTTGCCAATGGGATACACGGCCGAACCAATTCTTGAGCAAATTGGTAATTTTATTGGGACTTTTGTGAAATTGGATGACAGGTTCATTGGGGCACCATGGTTGACCTTCTACCGTATTCGTGTTTCAATCCCGGTAAACAAACCAATAAAATGGAGGATGAAGCTATTAAAGCGAGACAAGACAACCTGCTGGGTCAACTTCAAGTATGAAAGGCTACACACTTTTTGCTTTTTCTGCGGTATGTTGGGACACTCATACAAGTTTTGCCTAAAAGCTAGGAATGCGGCTATACCGGTGGAGCAGCTGTCGTATTCTGCTGATCTGCGTGTGGGGTGGAATAGGGGGCCACGTACAGTGGGTGACCCTTGGTTAATTCCGCTTGGAGGACGCCCTAAAGGAGAGCCGGCTGCCGGACCGACGGTGAACCACGCTGGTACGAGGGCGGCAGCCGCACGGGAAGGGGAGGAAATGGTCGCGGCAGTGACTAAGCGACGCCGTGAAGAAGGGGGAATAGGAGGGAGTAGTCTGGGAAGGGAGGATGATGATGTGACGATGATTGATAGCTCAAAAAACTTGCATATGGCGGGTTCTGGATCCCAGACCTGCCCGAACCAATGAGTACGTTGAGCTGGAACTGCCATGGCTTGGGTAATCCACGGATAGTTCGAGAAGTTGTGGACCTGGCATCCCGTAAGCAACCCGATTTTATTTTTTTTAATGGAAATGAAGGTGGGACGAGTTCATGCTGAGAGAATTCGTGTCCAACTTGGTTTTGAAGGTTTATTTTATGTTGACAGCAGCGATTTGAGTGGTGGTATAGCATTGTTATGGAGAGAGAATAATACGGCAAGGCTCCTCAGTTACTCAAAGAACTATGTTGATGTTGAGGTAACTATAGCTGGTTTTCTAGCTTGGCATATGACGTGTTATTATGGCTTCCCGGAACGCACCAGGCATAGTGAATCATTGGATCTCTTAAGAACTTTGGCGGCCAGATCAAATCTCCCATGGGTAGTGGTTGGGAATTTTAATGATTTGCTCTTTCAGCATGAGAAGTGGGGGGAATCCGCATCCGAATAGCCTCCTTCACGGTTTTGGGGATGCTATTGAGGATTGTGGTCTTGCCCAAATGCCTATGGATGGATATCAATATACTTGGGAGAATGGGAAGGGGACTGTTGATTTGCTTGAGGAGAGACGTGATAAGGTCTTGGTAACAAATGAGTGGCGCAATATCGTGGTCGGAGCCAGAGTAACAAATTTGGCAACCCGCAAGTCTGATCACTCGGCCCTCTTTCTGGGAATCCATGAATCCTTAGGGAGGGGTGGAGCTGGAAGGAGGGGGTTTCGTTTTGAGATAGGATGGCTGTATGATGAGGGGTGTAGAGGGGTGGTGGAACAGTCTTGGCAAGAAGGAAGGGGTCAGGGCTTGCAAAGTTGTATTGAGTACTGTGGTGCCCGGTTAACACGATGGGGTGGAGATCGGTACCACAAGTATGGGGAGCAGATTCTACACCTAAAAAAGGAACAACAGCGTTACAGGGGTTGCACTGATCCGGCCTCACTCGCAGAGTTCCAGCGTTTGGAACAACTCCTGAGCCACACTAAGACACAGGAGGATGCCTACTGGAGACAGAGAGCCAAGCAACATTGGCTGAAAGGGGCTGATGCCAACACGAAATTCTTTCACAGGTACGCTTCTCATCGTAAAAAGAAGAATACTTTATCTATGCTTATGAATGATAACGGGGATTGGGTGGAGGGGGAGGCTATGAAGGGGGTAATAATGGAGTATTTTAATCATATTTTCTGCTCTGGAAACCCTGGTTCTGGAGAGGGGTTTTTTGAGGGGATTACCCCACGGGTCACTCAGGCACAAAATGAATTATTATTACGGCCTTTTGAATTTGATGAAGTAAAAACTGCGCTATTTGCAATGTTCCCTGATAAGGCACCTGGCCCGGATGGAATGAATCCGGGATTTTATCAACATTTCTGGGATGTGGTGGGGGGGGGGGGGGGTATCGCGAGGTTTGTGGTTAACTGCCTTGATACACACCTATTCCCAGTAGGCTTGAATAACACGGATGTTGTTTTGATCCCATAGAAAAATACTCCAGAGTTGGTTACCGATTTAAGGCCTATAGCTCTCAGTAATGTGGTGTACAGGATTATGGCCAAGGTGATAACTAATAGAATGAAGCCTCTTATGGATGAAATTATATCAGAATCACAGAGTGCTTTTATCCCGGATAGACTAATAACTGACAATATTTTATTGGCTGCGGAGGTGGGACATTTTTTGAAAAGGAAACAGTGTGGAACGGTGGGTTGGAGTGCTCTTAAGCTAGACATGACAAAAGCCTATGATCGGATGGAGTGGCCTTTCCTTCGCAACATGATGTTGGCCCTGGGCTTTGATGCTAGATGGGTGGAATTAATTATGGTGTGTGTGATTACAGTCTCATACAATTTCTTAGTGAATGGCTCTCGTAGTGACCCCATTGTTCCCACGCGTGGTCTAAGGCAGGGGATGCTTTGTCCCCTTATCTGTTTATTATTTGTGCGGAGTGTCTCTCTCTATTATTACAGCAGGCACAAAAAACAGGGTCTATTCCTGGTTGTAGAGTTGCAAGAGGTGCCCCTCAATCTCACATTTGTTTTTTGCAGATGATAGTCTTTTGTTTTTTAAAGCAAATATGGAGGAAGCCAATGAGATAAAGAAGTGTATGTCCGTTTATGAAAATTTATCTGGGCAAGTGGTTAATTACCACAAGTCTAACATATGCTACAGTAGGAATACGAGTGACGCTGATAAAGAAAATGTTGCCCAGGTTTTGGCAGTGGTACAGGCTCCTAATTTTGGGAAATATTTGGGACTCCCCTCTTTTGTTGGAAGAAATAAGAAGGCAGCTTTCTCATATATTGAGGATAAGATTCGTCAGAGGATTGGTTCGTGGAATAAGAGATTACTATCACAGGCAGGTAAAGAAATATTGTTGAAAAGTGTAGCTCAATCTATGCCTACCTTCTCAATGAGTGTCTTTTTGCTGCCTGTGACTATGTGCACAACGATAGAGAGAACTATGAACCGCTACTGGTGGGATTCGGGAACGGACCAACGAATACATTGGAAGGCATGTGATAAATTGTGTGTCCCTAAGAAATATGGTGGTCTGGGTTTTAAGGAACTGAGAGCCTTTAATCTAGCTATGTTGGGTAAGCAGGCATAGAGAATGCTTACTAAACCTGAATCTTTGGTGGCTCGTGTCTATAAATCCCGTTATTATGCTAAGGGGTCATTTTTTGATGCACAGATATGGAATAACCCCAGTTTCTATTGGCGAAGTATTATGGCAGCCAAGAGTTTAATTTGCAGCGGAGTAAGACGCAGAATTGGGAATGGAAAGTCTACGCTCATATGGGCTCACCCATGGCTACAGGATGATCAGGAACCCATGATACAGACTGAAATGCCAATACAATTGGCAGGGGCCAAAGTAGTGGGATTGATTGATCAGGAATCTGGGACATGGGACCACCCAATTCTAACTGATTTATTCCAACCTAGTGATGTGGCAAATATTCAAAGAATACCTGTTTCTCCGGATTATGATGATACTTGGTATTGGCATGGAGATATGAGAGGAATTTATTTTGTGAAAAGTGGGTACAGGCTAATTGTTGGAAATTATGAGAGTAATGTTGGGTCTTTCACAAAGTGGTTAACCCTATGGAAGCTCAAAATCCCCCCCAAATGGAGAATGTTTCTTTGGAGAGCCATTAGTGATATACTACCTACCACTACTAACTTGCTTATAAAGAGGGTGGATGCGAATCCACAATGTGCCATGTGTGGAATAATTCAAGAGGATACTATGCATGCCTTAGTGCTGTGTGATTTTGCAAGAAACATATGGGAACAATCCAACCTTCCAATGCCTAATATTGTGACGAATATTTTTCATGTATGATTTAGTGAGCTTCTAAATATTTTAGATTCTGATGGGGTATTATATGCAGCATCAATTCTATACAATATTTGGAGAGCACGAAATGGAGCGGTTTGGGATGCTTTTCTTCCACGGCCACGATCCTTACTCACGGCGGCTGCTACATCCATGCATGCATGGCGTCGGGCGTGCCTAGCAGTCACGGCTCCGGACCATCCACTGCCAGCCCACTTGCCGCAAACGCAGCCACACGGTCACGCTGCTCCATAGCCAATACTGCCGCGGAGAATCTGCCGTGTGGACGCCGGATACATGCACGATACGGGCAAGGCTACTGTTGGGGAAATCCTTCTAGACGTGAATGAAGGATATGTCTCGGCATTCAGTGCGCCTCTCCCGGATTGTTTCTCACCACTTATGGCCAAGGCATTGGCATGCTTATCTGACATCACCGCCATTTGCGGTACGTACCTACGTCGGCTATGCCATTGACAGTTGCAGAGCAGCTGCGTCTTGTTCGTTTAATTTTGTTACTAGATTAGACAATTATTTAGTACATGCATTAGCCTCTAATGTTTATCAGCAGTCTACTACTATGTACTGGGATGCTGTCCCACCTGACATTATTTCGGCTTATTTCTAATGAAGTAACCACCCATTTTTCAAAAAAAAAAAAGTATTCATGATCAACAACTTTGTAGTTAGGTCGCGCAGGTCTGACAAGGATGTAAGAACAATTTTGTCCGATAAAAAAATAATAATATAATATTTGTAAAGTAAGGTACAATTGTACCATTATAAAAATACGTACAAAAAAATTAATACCATAATGATCTAAATCATTCCAATAATGCAAAAAGCGTAATTGAAATATTAAATTTTGTTCTAAATAATCAAAAGAAGATTAATTAAACAGAAAAAAAAAAACAAAAAAAAAAAAAAAAAAAAAACTTAACCCAAATTTGTTTTTTTTTTTAAATGTAAGAAAATCAAATGATTTTTAAAGTTCCTGATTTATAATCTTTGATGCTCAACTTTGAATGGTATGTTTTTAGTCGGGCTTATTATTTTACCAATGTTTATGTTAAATTTATTATTATTATTATTATTATTATTATTATTATTATTATTATTATTATTATTATTATTATTATTATTATCCACAAATCTAATAAGAGCCAATAATGTTAGGCCCTTAACTGGAACAAAAAAATGTTTGTGTAATTGTTTCTTAAAATGAATGGTTCATATTATTTTGATTTGAGTTTTTTTAATGATTTTTCTTATTTATCCTCTATTATATTATTTTCTTCCCTTAAATAACTTAAATTCTGTTAGTATAAACTTTAATTATTTTTCGTTAACTATTTATTATTTTACCTTATTAATTTCTATAAGAAAGGTCTTAGGTTCGAACCTCATCCCAATTAGAGTTGGCATAATTTAAACATATACTACGAATATGTTAAAATGTATTAAAATATATATAAATATAAAATTTAACATAAACTTTGGTCAAATAATTAGTCCGACTAAATACATAACATTCAAAGTTAAGCATCAAACATTACAAATCAAGAACTTTAAAAATCAAATGATTTTTATGCATTTAAACAAAAAACAAAAAAAAAAAAAAAAAACAAAAACAAAAAAAAACAAAAAAAAAAAACAAATTTAGGTTAAGTTATTTTTTTCGTTTAATTAATCTTCTTTTGATTATTTAGGTCCAAAAAAACGTAATATTTCAAGGAATAAGGGTCAAATAGGCCATCGAACTGCACACGATAATACAATTAGGCCACTGAACCTTAAAAAAAAAATTAACAATTAGGTCTCTAAACTAACCAAATTCATGCAATTCTTCCAATTTGCAGATTTCCAATAGGTCATCTTAAATTAAATTATTTTTTAAAAAATAAATTTTAAAAAATAATTATTTAATATTAATTTGTTAAAAAAAAAACAAAAACAAAAACAAAAACAAACAAACTTCCGACCGGAAGATCTGTTTTTTTTTTTTTAATTTCAATTTTAAATAATTATTTGTAAAATTTATTTTTTAAAAAAATAATTTAATTTGGGATGACCTTTGGAAACCTGCAAATTGAAAGAATTGCATGAATTTGGTTAGTTTAGGGACCTAATTGTACGTTTTTTTAGGTTCAGTGGCCTAATCGCATTATTGTGTGCAGTTTGATGGCCTATTTGACCTTTATTCCATATTTCAATTATACTTTTGCATTATTGGTATGATTTAGGTTGTTATGGTATTAATATTTTTTGTATGTATTTTTATAATGGTACAATTGTACATTACTTTACAAATATTATACTATTATTCTTTTTATCGGACAAAATTGTTCTTACATCATTGTCAGACATGCGCGACCTAACAACAAAATTGTTCATCATAAATACAATTACACTTGGACTCTAAAACGGTAGGATCATTTTCCAAAGAATTGACAATGTTGACATCCCACTAAATCCAATTGAACAAGTTTACCCATCAGGATTTTATCAATGCATGAAAACTTCTAAAGGAATTTGTAAGTTAATTTTTACTATATCATCATAACAATATCTATTGTAACTATATATTTTGAATTATTTATTATCATCCTCTATTCACAAGAATTGTAACAATTGTCATTGACAAACTCTCAAAACAATTTGTCTCACCAACGAATCTAAATTTAAAAAAAAATAAAATCAATGATTTCATTATTGTTGATGAAAAGTATGTACGCCACTTTATTACTCTTATTAAATTAAATATAAATTAGTAGCTACAACAAAAAATAATACATATGCATTTAATTAATTTAAAATTAGATGTCTATAATGCCTTTATTTTAAAAAAATTATTCATTATAAAAAATTCAAAAGAGATATAATTTCATTAGTTATATTATCTTTTAATTAAATATTAAAGTTATAATATGGATTACAAAATATGTTATATATATTTATTTACCAAGTATTTTATACAAATATAGTAAATATTAATATTTTGTTCAATACTTTCACATGGTAACACCTACGGAACACATCTCACAACACATGAAACATGTAGGGGGAAAACTACCATTACCAAATATCAATAGGTGCTTGTAAGATAAAGAGTTAATAGTACAACTAAGATCTCATCATATACACAACAAGGCAAATCTAAAGTTTCCTACACCATAATCTCATTGAATGATGAATCCATCTATTCTACCGCCTGTAACCCAATTGCACATGACACACCACCAATAATTTAAAAAAAAAAAAAAAAAAAAAGACATGTACTGAAAATGAAGACACTGACAATGCTACTCAAAAGAGAATTAAGAAGAATTAGAGAAATTTAAACCAAAAGTAGTATTTATTTAGATTATCGTTTTAGACTAGCATTATTACAAAATTACAAACACTTGTTTTAGTGACAATATAATCAATCTCTCATATATTATATTGCATTTATATACTTTAAATTGTCGACTTACCAGGACTATGTGGTCTAATTGTACCTGGGTTGGACTTCCATTTGGAAGGTTGTGACTCAGTGGAGGCTCTTTGTGTTTCAATAGGTTGAGAAAGTATATGAACAAATACTACATTGTAATAGAGCTAGTAGCATTAAAAAAAAATAATAATAATAATAGCCGATTTAAATAAATAAATTCAATATTTATTTACCTATTGAGGAACATCCCTGATATAATATTGCATTGATATACTTTGAAATACTTATTTAAAAATAAGAGGAAATTACACTTTTGGTCCTGTGACTATTGTGGTCTTGTTAATTTGAGTACTTGCCTTTAAAAACTAACAATTTAGTCCCGTAACTATGCAATTTTTAACATATTTGGTCCTTCCGGTCAAATCACCGGCCAAATGTTGCCGGAAAAAGATAATTCCTTTAAAATAGTTTATTTATGGGGATAAAATGGTCATTGTAAGCTAAAAAAAGAGAGGGGGGGGGGGGGGGGGGGAATTGTTCTTGTTTTTTGCTTCTCTCCTCATCAATGCATCATTTTTTACGCGAAGAAGAAGGCTGCGAAGAAAGAAGTGGAGGAAGAAATCTGGGGAAAAAAAGCTTTATTTTCTTCATCTTCTACTCTTTTCTTTGCTCTGTTTGTTGAAAAAAAAATGCTTTGATGATTTGCAGGGGTCCAACTATTTTGATTCCTAGGATTTTACTTTTGATCCCTGTGGCTTCGCCGGAGTTTTTTGCGATGGGGATAAAGTGGTCACGTTGAATCTCAGGGATGGGTCGCCCGATATGGAAACTTTTTGGGCTGACAGAGTTTAGCGTTGTTCCGGGGAGAATAACCAGTGCATTGCCGGAAAGCTTGTCGGAGTTGTAGAACCTCAGGTTTCTTGGAATCAGCCTGAACTTTAAATTCTCTCCGGCGGGATTCCGTCGCGGAAACCCTTTCTGGCACTCTCCCGGCCTCTCGCTGCCGCCGCGCAAGAAGAATTACTGCAATGACTCTTCGCTCTCTGCTTCTTTGCTGCCCATGCTTAGCGCTATGAGACCCATTATTTGAGCTTTGCAGCTCTGGATTATACAATTTAATTGGGTAATTAATTAAACTTGGGATACGGAATTTATAGGTTTGGATTAATGAAACGGAAATGGAAAATGGAATGCAGTGTGAACTAAAGGAGCAATATAAGATGAAGAAGGAAATGAAGAATCATTCTGGTCTTCCATTCACAGACCCATGTTTCCGAGATCTGCAGACCAGGGGAAGAAAAACCAATAAGAAGGATGAAGAAGAAGGAAGAAGAAGGAAATGACCAATTTGTCCCCGAATTAAAAAACATTAAAATGGATTAAAAGATTCCGGCGACATTTAGCCGACAATTTGACCGGGAGGACCAAATGTGTTAAAAATTGTATAGTTACAAGACTAAATTGTTAGTTTTTAAAGTCAAGTACTCAAATTAACAATACCACAATAGTTACAGGACCAAAAGTGTAATTTTCTCTAAAAATAATCATATGACATTATTCCATTTGCGCAAAGTACGTAAAATAACTAGTATATTTAATACGTTTTAACATATTCGTAGTATATGTTTAATAATTATGTCAACTCTAATTGGGACAGGGTTCAAACCTAAGACCTTTTTATAAAAATTAAATTAAGTTAAAAATAATAAATAGTTAACAGAATATTATGTTACTAAAGTTTATACTAATGAAATTTAAGATTATTTAAAGAAAGAGTATAATTTAATATAATAGAAGGTAAATGAGAAAATTCATTAAATAATACAAAAATCAAAATAATATGAACCATTCATTTTAAGAAACAATTACACCGACATTTTTTTGTTCCAGTTAAGGGCCTAATATTATTGGCTCTTATTATATTTGTATATTGTGGATGTAGAAATTAGAAATCAGAAGAAAAATTAACTCCTATTTATGAGCATTATTGTGACATATCACCGTCGACTAATTGCAACACTGCTGGACATACTTAAGAGCAAGAACTCTAACAACAGTACACATTGGAACCTAACACAATACAGAGATGAACAGACAATATGATATATAAAAAAACTACAAGTATGATGTCAAGGTCAGCTGTGCCTGTCATCAGTTAAATCAATCATATACATACAAGACATGCAATAGCAAAGTTAATCAGGTTGGCTGTTGCATCCAAACACGCAAAGTTTTGCAGTGTATCAGTTACACCATATAGCAATTAATGCGCTGCTTAATGCATCTGAGCCAGCCTTGCATGTATGGTAGAAATAATGTATAGACTATCAAAGGCAACTATGTGAAAAATGAAACACTACCATAGTTTATTTGCTCTATGTAGGGAATCTGTTTCCTCTCCCTTGACAAATCACAAACCCATAGTAACAGTAACGATTACTCTGAAACCCCAAGGAATTGAGCAAAGCTAGGATATTTAGGCTCCCATCCTAGTTCTGCACGAGTTTTTGAGTTGTTTAATTTCTTGCCCAATGGATCACTAGTTCCTGCAGGAAAGACAAAAATAGAGAATCATTTTAAAGCGCCTGCTGAACCAATTGGAGCATCAATGATAGACACACACATGAATGGCTCAATAAGATTTCCCTGTATGAAAGAGCTATTACCAACATTTGTCAAATGCTTACCTGTGAAGCCCTTAAACTTCTGGCTATACTTCCCACTTTTATTGACCAGGTCCATCAATTCTTGCCTGAACAGAAGATACCATGGTTCAGAAATTCAGTACAACATACAGATGCTAAGAGTGATAGTGCAATTGCATATGCAGCTCCATTGTGAAACATAGAGCCACCTTCAATATAAAAAAAAAAAAAAGTGCCAATTATTTTAGCAAGGATAACCTGGACAAAGGGTGGTTGTCACACCCCAAAAAGATCCGACTACGAAGTTTCTTTTTCAAGATGACAACAGCTAGTGAAGCTGCATCCTGTTAGAAAAGAAGGCATCACATCAAACATGACATGCTCAACACTGATACAAAGACACTACTATGGATTTTTAGGAATTAACAGGGAGTATTGACTTTTATAGCAGCCTCAAATATTCTTAGGGAACATGCAAATGGCAGGAGTCATGAGGTTATAAACTCATAAGATTCACACACACCTCATAGTGTATAAGATTGAGGATGTGATCTGGACGAATCTCCAAAGTTCCTTTGCTTAACCAAAAGGTATGTGCACCTCTATCGGCTTTGTACGGACAGTTAAGGTAAATGTGAATAAGCAAAGTCCGTAGAAGAACATGTAAGCTGTGTAAAGATGTCTAGGCACTGAGAATCCACAATTAAGGATATGTAAAGTCCAGCCAATCTAACAACAGAGCCACCAAATTCCAGCACAGCTTTTTCTGCCTTTAGAAGCACATCAGTCCTAGGGCTTCTCCCTATTGGCACATCTGGGGAATCCTGAAAATGTATAGTGAGGTAAGATAAAGAGATTGGGAAGCAACTGACAATAAAAAGAATATAAAAAGCAAAAAAAAACAACATAGTGGTTCAAGTCAGGAAATGTCACAGTTTATATGCAGTATTTCTTTATGGTTAAAATGCCAGTATCATAAAATTCACAGGGAAAAGGCCTCTCTGAAGCAGTTAAAAGACAAACGGTTTAGCAACACAGTTATGTGTTATGTTAGATGTAAAACCTCATTGCATGGCCCATTGTCAAAGCAATCATACGGTGCAGAGCTTGAGGTGAACAGAAAACAACCTTCACCATTCCAATTCAATGCAGCCTCCCTGTAAGTTTTATCATACAGAATTAGAATTACTCCTAGTGGCACACAACACTTCAGATAAATAATTGAAAAATTAGCTTGACAAAATCAGTAAGAATAAATTGAATAATAAGTGGAAAAGTTTTACATATAACTATCTGATGCACAGTCAGCCTCATCAATTCCCTCTAGAAGGAAATCATATTCTGATATTCACATACTCACACACGGTATGCACCAACTCCATATACATACACAAGCTATTATGAACACAACTGCAAATGTTAATAATCTTGACATTGTTCTCCAGATCAATATGAAGAGATGGACCATTTACCACACTAACACTTAACAAGAACTAGATTAGAATGAAAGGTGTTACTCTGGTGCCTACTTGACATCAGCAGGATAATCTTCAGTTCGTGATGGAGGAGCACAGAAGATAACATAAGGGAACTTATCAAAAAACTTGTTTTCTTTCAAAGATGGTTTGATTCCCATTTGGATCAGTTCATCATGATGATCAGTGGTAATTGTGTGCCCAAAAATTTGACTACCTGGGTGTTCCTGCAACATGTCAAAAGGAAAACAAATTCTACATATACCTTTCAAATCATTGTTTACAAACTAATAGGCATGTATAGCTATCACTTTTCCATCTCATTTGACATCCCTATCGAGGAAGCATTCAGCTAACAATAATGTGTTAAGAATCAATTCAAGAAATGCAGAATACTACACTACCTTTATAAATAAACAGATCACACTTTCAATCCAAGCACACAAGTTCAAAGGCATGCAACACATTTATGGCATTTAGCTTTCTGGATGAAATTCGCCAGGTTATTGGCCAATTGAGATGAGAGTTAATTTCAATCCCCAGTATCCACACTTTACTTTGATTATCAACAAAACTACTCTCCCTATATCTCACCACCATCATCATATCACTAAATCTATCAACAAGAAGAATTATCTACATTGTCTAGAAGAAAAATTGGGACAAATTTACAGTTACATTGCACGATCAGAAGCGCAGAAATTATACCTCTCGCCATTTTTCAGCGACTAAACGGCCAAGCACACCCGGTCCGACGATTAGCAAGTCATTTGCCCCAATAGCCACCCCCGAAGAAGCATCCAACCCCTCAGTCGTTGCATCTTCATCATCCAAAACACAGAAATCCGACCAACGCATAAAAATTTTGAAAAAATAAAAATTCACATTGTTCCCACACTTAAAAAATAATAAAAATAATAAAAAAAAAAATCAAGAGGGGGACAGGGAGAGTACTTACCAGTAGCGGAAGAAGAAGCTTTAACTTGGAAAGAAGTGTCCATGGGCGAAGAGTGCTTGAGGGAAACGAAATTGTGGGCACAGAGCGACAGAAACGAGAGTGAGCTTCTAGGATTGAGTTTTGGCGAGTCGAAACAAGGAATGATTTCGATCCTTGTGGCAAACGTATTGGAAATGGTGAGGCAGACTGTACTGCCCATTTGGTAGTGATCACTATTGTTGATAAGATCGAACTCGTGCTGTTGAGAAGGGGAAATCTCGTGCTCCAACCAGTGTAAATTCGGTATCCAGTAAAGTAGTTTACTGGGCGGCTAAGCCAAAAACCACAGAGGGCATTTCACATTTGCTGAATTTTTATTTTTTATTTTTTTTTTTAATGTTTACCACATCAACCTTCTACTCTAGCCAGCGCTACTTCGCGGTACAATCTTTTTATAGCATGTCTACTGTTTAGTTCAAGAGGGGAGTGAAAAGCAAAAATACTACTTGGACTTTAACCGGCTGTTTATTTAGGAGGTAATTTCGGTGTGGTTGAATTACAATTTCGTAGAGATCACAATTACGCTGTTTGGTTGAGGGGAATTGCAATTCGGTGGAATTACAATTCCTTCCATTTACTAAATTATAATTATGGATTTCGCATTAACAGGGCGTTTGGTTGGAGGGGGGAATTATGTGGGAAAGGAATTGTAATTCCATGGGAGTTGAATTACTGGGAATAAAGTGAGAATTTAAATTCCAGTGTTTGGTTGACAGGAATAGAATTACTGGGAATTTCAATTCCAATGTTTGGTATACATGGGAATTGAAAGGGAATAAGTAGTATAAAGTCAAAAATGTCCATTATTGTTGTTAGACATTAATTTTAGGTTAAAAAAGGATGGAGTAATTTTGACTCATCACTATCTTTTTTTCCCAGGAATTAAAATACCAGGGGAACATGGGATTTTAATTCCATGAAAATGGGAGAATTGCAATTCCATGGAATTGCAATTCCCTCCAACCAAACTACGGAATTTAATGGCCTTTGGAATTAGGTGGGAATTAAGTGGAAAGAGAATTTAAAATCCCTCCAACCAAACGCCCTGTAAGAGTTGTAAGAGCATCCACAATGGTTGGGGAGAATTGTGGAATAATGTAAGAGTAATTAAGAGAGAGAATGTGGGAAGGGGGGGAAAAAAACCAAAAAATAAAAAATAAAAACCAAACCAAAACAAAATTAAAAATTAAAAAACAGAAGGGTTAGGCGCGCCGAACGGCACGCCC